ACCTAAAATGAAAAAAATGATTTAGATTTCGTATCTAAAAAATGACACGCATGTTTTTGATCTTACTTTTCAACACAACTTATGCATAACGTAACTTGCGCGGGCATAATTTTTGCAAATAAATTCTCGACATTTATCCCACGATGAGCTTTCTTTCTTTTGATTTTTAGAATATGGCCATATTTTACACCTTTCCCTCCACTGGTTCCTGAAGTCCGGAAACTTTAAAAATGTCACTACGAAGTTCTCTCAGTAAACATGCTGAGCTCTACGAGTCAAATGGTCCTTAATATGTTCTTGACCTAAAGTGGTTAGAAATTATTTTTTGCGCTTTCGCTCCAAGTTCTTTCTGGGTCAGAGCGCGTGTATTGCCACTACATCCCGCCACTTCAAATTACTCGCTACTCGCACTAGAAATAATTTATACCATAAACGGGTCAAATTTGAATCTACATGTGAATAACTCTGTAGTGGTAACAGATAAATTAATGGAATGTTTGTGGATCGATAAATCACCTACCGGTCGAAAATTAGCAGAACGCGTGCAGCGCGCCATACATATTTTGGAAGCGAAGCTTGGCATACAAGACGTGGAGGGTCAAATTTGACCCCGCCATGGTACTTAAGGGTTAAGATGTGGCGAAATTGTGATATGTTTTGGAGTTTCAAACAACAATCTATGAAAAACTAACATCACTTAGCATTACCCTGATCACAAAAATAAGTCTCAATAGTCCAAGAGTTTGGTACAAACCTGGAGGTTTTTGAATTAATTTAAGGCAAGTTCTATCTCCACCAAATTCGATGATGTTTTTGATGGAGTTTAGAATATTCCCTTTACAAATGCTCAACCTCATTAGTTCACTTAACAATATATCTCTTGGGGTCTCTGAGATATTAATGATCACAATCGGAAGAAACCTCATAGCTAGTGTAGAAAATACATCCAAAAATTACAAAAAAGTTTCTATGAACGTCTTATTACCAAGTCGCAGGAAATTTCTACTCCACTGATGGGACTGAAGAAACACAAACGATGAACATTTTTTAAATAACAAAGTGGTAAGTTAATGTAAGTGGTAAGATGCTGTATACAATTTTTGTGTAAAACTTCACCAACTTCAGCGTATTTCCAAAACAGGTCGGGTTGAAGTTTTTCGAATCAATCTTATCTCGAATATTCAAACCGACTTTTGTTCAAACATTTCTCAAGGAAGGCGCTTAATGTAAGATTAAATGCCTTATTCAAAAATGCAGTATAAAGGGTGGTTAATATATAACTAACTGATTTAAATTGCGCGACATTTTTGATACACCCATTTCAATAGGTGGCGCTGTAGTAGTTGTTGAAAGCACATGTGTCCAATTCATTATGGAGCCCGATACATTTCCACAATGCGCCCGTATTGTTAAAATGTTTTACTTAAATAATGAGTGGATTGTTGAAATGATTCGGAAGCTACGACAAGATTTCGGTCGAACTAATGTGCCCAGTGTCAACGCCATTCGTCAGTTGGTGCAGAAATACAAACAGGTAAAACTAATGACTTGCCACGATCGGACCGTGTTCGAACTGTTCGTGAAAGTGTAGTGGAGCGCCCTGAGACGTCTGCCAGACGTCGTTCTCAAGAACTGGAGATTCGTCGCACGACATTATGCACTATTTTAAAAAAAGACATACATTTTCGGCCCTACAAAACTCAGTTAACCCAAGAACTACAGCCTGGTGACCATGAAAGTCGCCGACAATACAGTTATGCAATACCCAAAATAACGATTTTTATCGATAACTGATAATGAACGATGAAGCCCACTTCGATATGAACAGATTTGTTAGTAAGCGGAATTGTCGTATCTGGGCATTAGAGAACCCTCGAGTCACTGTTTGGTGCGGTGTTTGGTATGGAGGTGCCATTGGACCTTACTCCTTTAAAGGCGCTGCAGGTATACCTTTTACTGTCACTGCCGAGCGCTACCGTGATAGGGTGCAGAAATTTCTGGCTCGTCAAGTCCAACAATTTAACCTGCAAAATATGTGGTTCCAGCAGGACGGAGCAACTTGTCACATAGTTAAGAAAACAATGAATCTTTTGCTAACAATATTTCCGGGACGTTCAATTTTTCGATTCGGTGATTGCCACGCGTTTTTTTTTTATAAATATGAGGAAATGGTGGTGTAATTCATCTTTACCTGTTTTGAATTAATTGATGAATTAATAAATTACTATAAATGAAATCTAAGGGTCGGCCAATGCAAAACAGCTATCAAGTGGCGTGCCAATTTAGGCACTAGCTCAATAAATCGGAGAGTAGGGGGGGGGGGTTAAGAGCGCTAGTGACTCAAGACGGATTTAGCCACAAATCCCAGAGTTTTTAGTCGGAACTTGTTCTGCCTGACCACCACACAACGAAAAAAGATCTAATAGTAATAATGAAACCTAATTAACTGTATACAGAGAGCCAAATAAAACAAGATATCTAAAAAAAATCACAATATATTGTTAAAACAAGCCAAAACATCTGCTCCGCCACTGGACTGCAAGTTAAAAGAGAAGTTGTTGTTCAATACTACCTGACAATAAAATTAATAGACCGTAATAACTAACCCTGCAAAACGTTTACCATGGTATACGTACGAAGGCTTTGCAAATATAGGTCTTACAAATATTTCGTAGTACGTATAAATATCATAAGATGGCGCGCTGGTTGCCGATGGGCAGACTGTAGGCAGAAACAAATCTGTCTACGAGGAACCAACAATATCTTATGAGGAAATTTCTCAGATAGAAGAAATACTTCAATACAATACTGAATCGCTGAGAATGGCAGATATAGTACGTGTGCAATTCTACAATCAATAAACTGTGAAATTTAACAAAAAAAAATTATTGAAAAAGGTTTGGCCTAAGAATCGATACCCTACTATAATGAAGAGAAATCCAAATTACTCATAAGTGAACAAAACAGTAAAAAGAAAGATTACGTGATTTTAGCACGTGACATGATGTCAACTGACCACCAAGGTCACCGGATTTAACGGCGCCTGACTTTTTTTATCGGGATTTTTGAAAAATAGGGTTTGTGCCAACAAATCAAATACTGTAGGGCAGCTGAAGAACAATATTACGGAAGCGATTGATAATATTCCTCCCGAAACCTGCCAAAAAGTGATGGAAAATGTAATCAAGAGGGATTAGGTTTGAGCGGCTTCTAGAGGCAGACATATGTCCGATATTATTTTTCATAGATAATTCCTAAGTGACAATAAGAGATTAAGATGAAAAAAATGGACTTATTTTATTTCGTTTCAGAAATATTCATGTTACAAGCCAATTAGATACATATCGGCCACCCTGTATGATCCAAAAACGTCAGAATCGTGCAAAATATTTCTCTTTTTTCCTCTGTAGGGGTCAATATTTCTCTGTTTCTAAGCTACTGGTATAGTCTAAGACGCGGAATTTTTGGTATGTACAGGGTGGTCCATAAGTCCTTTGAAATTTCAAATTTGAATAAAATTTAACGGGTGAGCGTGAGCGGCGCGGGCGAGGTGGGGGCAGTATCTTCAGTGTCTGGAAATTCAGTCGCCATGGAGTGTTTCACTGGAGCGGATCGTGCTTTTTGTGTGCGCGCGTTTTATCAAAATAATGATTCGGCAACCATTGCGCGGCGTAAATATCCAGAATACCACAATTTACACAATTTTACAAAGTGTCCAACAGCTCAAACGGTTAAGAACTGAGTTGCTAAGTTCGAAGAGACTGGTTCGATGTTAGATAAACAGCGGTGGGGTCGACCAAGGACAACTCGTATTGAAGAAAACATCAACATTGTGGCACAGTCTGTTCGTCAAAATCCTACCCAGTCTACTCGTAAGCGTTCCAGTGCACTAAACGTACCCAGAACATCTTTACAGCGGATTTTAAGGAAAGATTTACGTCTGCACGCTTACAAAATTCAGTTAGTGCAGGAATTAAAAGAAAATGACGCTATTCAGAGACTAAACTTTGCGAATGAAATGTTGAATCGATTTTCTTCGCTCAATAATGTGTTGTTCTCGGACGAGGCTCACTTCCATTTAAACGGGCATGTAAATAAACAAAATTGCCGTTATTGGAGCCCCGAAAATCCAAGGCGTAAGCATCAGAAGCCCTTACACAGCCCTAAAGTTACAGTTTGGGCTGCTATGTCAGCGCATGGCATCGTAGGCCCTTATTTTTTTGAGGACGACAGAGGTCGCGCATTAACTGTTACTTCGGAGCGGTATGTATCAATGATAGAAGAGTTTTTGACACCAGCGTTGCAGAATTTTCCAGGCTATAATACGCAGACCTGGTTTCAACAGGACGGAGCAACTGCCCACACCTCCAACACTTCTATGCCCGTCGTCTGTCAACTTTTTCCCAGCAAAGTAGTCCAGATCCCCAATGGACTTCTTTTTATGGGGCTACCTCAAGAGTAAAGTGTACGACACCACTCCGCGATCAGTTGATGTCCTGAAAGAAAATATCCGAAGAGAAATGGCAAGCATTACAGTGTTGACTTGCCGCGCAGTCATCGACAATTTTAGACGTCGTTTATATGAGTGCCGTGATCGTAATGGATTGCATTTAGACGATGTGATTTTTAAAACATAATTCCCATTCAATAAAGATGATAACCAAATATAATAATTCTTCATAATGTAATTAGTTTGGTTTTATTCCTTTTTTTCCAGCTCAAAGGACTTATGGGCCACCCTGTATCAGCTATGATGTCAGTACTAGAAATTTTAAGTCGATATCTCAATTCACTCTGAAGACACGTTTATCGGTAAGGGGGCAATTTTAACGGCGAGGTTTGTACAAAATTTTCGTGTTTTATTTTCTCTTACTTTATGCCCTACAAATATTGCCATGTTTTTCTGAAATACCCTGTATAGCATGTAAGGGGATAGATAAAGGACAAGTAAAATAACATTTATTTATCAAAAGTAGCTTATTATGTCAAGGATACTCAACTCCTTCAGGAAGTTCTGTACAACCTCTTTAGAAATATTAACAAAACCTTCATTAACACTCTTCATGTCGCCGTTTCTTCTTCTTCCACCCTTTAGGAGCATGGTTCCCTTTTAATATCTGCTGAATTTCCTCTACAGTCCTTCTCTTATGCAAACACATAGAATGTATAGTGCATTCGTATCTTTTCGGAATGTTGGAATACTTGAAGTGACACAATAGCATTCAGAACATAAAGTCCATCAGCTACTGTAGGGGTCAATATTTATCTGTTTCTATGCCACTGGTATAGTGTAAGACACGATTTTTTTGTATATATTGGATATGATGTCTGTACTAGAAATTTTAACTCGATATGTCAATTCTGTCTGAAGACACATTTTTTTCGGTTTCAGAATTTATCGGGCATTTTAAGGCCAAGGTTTGTACAAACTTTTCGTGTCATATTTTGCCTTACTTTATTTATTTTATTTTATTTATTTTATTTGTAGATTTTATTGCCCAACAGATAATATTCCATTTATAGGCCAAAATCTTAAATTAGAAATATTACAAAAGCGTAACTTATAAAACTAGTTGAGGCACTCCCGCAAAACACATTTCAACTCCGAAATAGAACATAAGAATGTGTCACAAAACTTACAAATACTATTATAATTCAAACACATAACCCTTTCAGGTGATTTCAAAATCAAATTTGTGTTAGCACGACTGCAAAAGAAAGTAACATTACATCTTGAAACGGATATTGGCGTTAAAAACTGTAATTGTGATAACAATTCCGAAGAAACTATAGTTCCATGCAAGAGTTTAAACAAAAAAATAACAGAACTGTGCTTCCTTCTCACATTCAAAGACGTCATTTTGAATCTGTCTAACAGAATTTGATAGTCCGACCCATGTTGAGGGCAGACTCTATCGCACTTGTAAGCTAGATATTTAAGAAACTTTTTTCCATATTAGGGATGCATACTCTAACTTGGATCTTACAGGTATATAAGCATAATACAAGGTTTTTAGTGCTGCTAAATCATTGATTAGCTTACAGTTTCTGATAAGAAAACATAAGGCCCTATTAGCATTATTCACAATATTATCTATATGACAGACAAAACTAAGCATAGTGTCAAACATAACACCCAAATCACGAACAGTATCAACTCGAGTGACCTCAGTTCCACCAATACTGTATGCATATTCTATTTTACGCAGTTTTCTGGATAAAGTAACTACCTTGCATTTAGCAATATTCAAATGTAGCCTGTTTAGAATACACCAATCTTCCAAACGGCAAAGTTGAGTTTGTAAATACTCACAATCTCTTTCAATATTAATATTAACATACAGTTTCAAATCATCAGCAAATTGGGTTAAGATGAAAAACGCTTATTAGCGACACTTTTATACTTTGTATAAATAAAGCCGGATTTTTATTATTATTATTAAATAACAGTTTACCACAATCAATATAATCACATACATCATTCACAAAGATCAAATATAATAAGGGCCCAGGTTAGAACCTTGTGGCACCCTAGATGACGAAATGTATCGAAACGATTCGAAACCATTGTAAGAAATGTACAGCTGTCGATTCCACAAGTAAGCCATTAATAACGATATTGATTTATCAGTAAAACCAAATGAACCCAGCTTAGCAATGGGCACCTCATGATCAACCTTATCGAAGACTTTAGAAAATTCAGTCTAAACTGCATCCAACTGTTCCTGATTATCTAGGACATTCGTGGCTAACTGAGTGAATACTGCCCAATTGATGACAGTTGACTTACCACACATGAACCCGGATATTTGACTATAGGTGGAAAGGTAGATGGGGTTGTAAAGAATTATTTAAAATAACTTGTCAAAATTATTCAATATCGAGATCGATCTATGGTTCTCAATTGAATCACGGTCACCCGCTTTGTAAATAGGACAAACCCTTGTTTCCTTCCATTTATCTGGGAATGTAGCTGTAGATAATATGAGATTGAAAAGAATAATCAGAGCATCTACTATACCAAGCGGACAATCCTTGACCAGGAAAGAGGGGAGCTTATCTGTTCCTGAGGTCATCTTGGACTTCAGTTTTTTTGCTGCACATATTTCATTTTCAGTTATACTCTCCTGAGTTAAGTTGACAATACATTGGATGTTAGAACATAGGTCTTCATCGCAATAGGTATCAGATGACAAGTAAACTGTCTCAAAAGAATTCAGCGAAAGCATTTATAATTGACTGAGGATCACCGAAATCATTATTCAGATGAGTCATATGACATGGTATCCGTGTTGTTTTGTCCTTTTGATATATAGATGACCAAAAAGAAGCGGGGTTATTTCTCACCGACTCTTGAATTTCTTGCAAATAGCTTTCGTACACAACCTTTAATTGTGATTTGATGAGTGATCTTAGTCTAATGAACTCGTCTCTGTAAAAATTGTTTTTAGTTTGTTTCCACTTACGATGGTTTCTTGCCTTATCTTTTATGTTCTTAATTATTGACGAATTATACCATCTTGGAAATTTCCGCTTGAAGGTTTTGAATAATGGTACATGCTTATCCAAGATTCCATAAAACTTTTTGTAGAACTCGTCAATTGCTTTATTAACATCCTGAAATGCTTCCAAAAATGACCAATCAATAATAGTTAATTCATTGTATAATGCAAAAAGTCGGCTTTTTTAAAATTACATACTTTAGAATGCTTATTGGTGCCAAATAATGTTTCCTGGTGATTAATATTAGGAAGCTTAATGATAAGAGCAGGATGATGGTCATCAGGTTGCACTAGAGGAATATGGTCACACTCAGTAATGCATACAACATTACTCAATACTAAATCTCAGAGCCTGTTGGATGTGTTCATTACATTATTATACTGTTTCAGACCTAGGAGAGACATAAAATTATTTATTGTTCTGGTTTTACTATCACCATCATTTAGGATAAATTTAGGTACGTTAAAGTCACCAAGCATAATTAGTTTTGCGCCACGTAACAAGTCCCATTCTTCTAAAGCCTCAAAAAAGTGATCAAAGTCATAGACGGTTAAGCTGGGGGCGGTATACAATACAATTACGAAGAATGTGACTTGAGAAATGTAGCACTTACAACACAAAAAATCAATATAGGGGAAACTCTGATTGGAAAACGAGGTATCAACAAGTATGACATTGATTGAATCTCTAGCTGCAATCAAAACTCCACCACCTGTGGACATATTTAATACATCTAGTCTACGGTCCTGTCGAAATACCTGGTAAGTGTCCGAAAAAAGTTGTTCACTCTGGGTTCCATCTTTGAGCCACGTTTCAGTGATCACAATAAAGTCAACCTCACCCACTGATTGAGATGTATAAAAGCAATCAAATTTTGAATTCAAGCCCCTCACATTTTGGTAGTAGTAAGATATTTATGTCCTACAAATATTCACATATTTTTCTGAAACACCGTGTACAGCATGTAAGGGGATAGATAAATTGGACAAGTAAAATAACATTTATTCATCTCAAGTACCTTATTATGTCAAGGATTCTTAGCTCCTTCAGGAAATTCTGTATAACCTCTTTAGAAATATTAACAAAACCTTCATTAACACTCCTCACGTCGCCGTTTCTTCTTCTTCCACCCTCTTAGGAGCATGGTTCCCTTTTAATATCTGCTGAATTTCCTCTAAAGTCTTTCCCTTAGTCTCAGGTATGAAGAAGTGCGTGAACACTATAGCTACAAAGCATGAAAATGCGAACACATAGAATGGATACTGCATTCCATATCTTTTCGAGAGCTGTTGGAATACTTGAAGGGACACAATAGCACTCAGAACATAAAATCCATCAGCTATTGTCATCCCCATAGCTTTCATTTTAGCCGGGAATAGCTCAGCTGTTAGTACTATTGGTACCATGCCAAGTCCGGACTTGAAAGATAGGCCATATATCATAACTGCTACTACAGGAATCCAACTGATCCCGTCTACTTGGTACCCAGCGTTTTTGACACTAAAATAAATAGCTATTGTCAGAAGGCATAGACCAGTGAGTGTACTGGAGGTTATGAGAAGAGTTTTTCTGCCGTATTTGTCAATTGTGGCGGAAGCAATTGAAGCTGCAATGAACATCAACATCGAAAAAACTATCCCACTCGTTGAAGCTGACATGTATATGGACTCTGCTTCTTGTAAGATCTGGTGAAGATTCATTAACATAACACTGATCCCACTCATATGCTGAGCGCTGTTCAGAAGTGCCATGATGCCTATCGCTTTGCGATTACTTGGTACCATAATCAGATCTTGTGGTCTACCTTTCTCTGTCTTCTGCCTCTCGACAGCTAACTTTATATCTTCGATTTCCTTTTCTATGTTGGCACCTGCTGGTCTAAATCGTTTCAGAGCCTCTTTAGCCTCGCCTGGTCGGTCTTTATACAGCAAAAAATAAGGTGATTCAGGCATAAAAGGGAAAGTGACAAGCTGAATTACAACTAAAGCAGCTCCAACCAAGCAGTGGGCCCAAATAGGTACGAAGGGTGCTATAGAGTAGATCAAAATAAATCCCAACAGCATCATCATATAAATGAGACTAGAAAGGAATCCTCTGACTTTCTGATCAGCTATCTCCGCTACATACATTGGAGCTGCTACAAAGGCCATGTTTCCAGTATTTCCTGCCCAGATTCTGACTGCTAGAATGTAGTAGATGTTGGAAGCAGTGGCAGTGACTATCCAGACAACCAAGAGTGACACAGAGGCGTAGAGAAGGCTCCATTTTCTTCCAATCTTGTCCACGAGGTAGACAGTTATAGGTAGGCCGCAAAAAGACCCCACCATCAAACCTGTTTCAAGCCAGTCTGCTTGTTCCTGGGTCGTCTTGACAGGACTGTCAGGGCTCAGTAGGATTGGGTTCACCGGAGCTGTCCAGCCGTAGAGCATTCCATCTGAGATCGCCACCATCGTTGCTGTAATAAAATGTGTATTGAGTATTGAATAAGCTGAGAATCCCACTAAATACTAAATGCTATTACGCAACTTGAAAAGTGACATTATGTTGTTTTCTTTGACATTATGTTGGTTTTATATGACATTACGTAGGTTTTCCAACAAGATGTCAACTTGTAATTAGCTGTCGTTAACTTCATGCTCACTTGTAGCAAGCGCGGAATGAACCATTTGAACACAAGCGTACTTAGTCAACAAGTTGGCATTTTAGAGGTTTTTTGACATTAACCTATACGTAATAACCCTGTGGGCGTCCTCAAAGTTGAGACTCAACCTTACAGATGATATAGGTCAGGCAATAATAAGCAGCTCTTCTTAGTAACATACATACCAAAAAATGACGATATCTGGTTTATTCATATAGCCTGTTGGCCGACAATCAGCAAACTGATAGTCGGCGACAAGTCATGACCTAGTTTTCGCAGTTAGCTGTCACTGACATGTCGTAGACTGTAATGATTGCGTACATGAGAACGTTACGAGTTGGCTGAGAAAGGTAAAACCGATTACCGACAAGTAATTCGCTGTTCGTACAGAAACTTCTGACTGTTTGTTGACTGTCAAATTAGTCAGTAGATAATTTTCCAGTAAATTGTCAGAGCTAGAAATCAAGTACAATCATTATTCGAATGTAAAATTTTTCAGAATGAAGTAGACAATTTTGGAAAAGTTGGGGTATGTTCACTTGCTGTAAACCAAAATGATCTAGGATTTTCAGTCCAACTGCTTGAATGTGCTCGAATTTTCCTCCAGAGATAAAAACAGGGACACTTTCTAGAACATAAATTCGAAGAAATATATAGTAAGCAGTAAGTAAATTCATACTAAGAATTCTGAATAAGCGTCTGCAGTGATTATGCATGAGAAATGTACACAGTATTGTAAATGCTTTTTAATAAAACTCAGATAGTATTGTTTTTGTTCCCTTGTCGCCCAGCCTCGAAGTGTATGCACAAACAGTATCTACAGGGTGTTTCAGTTTATTGTTGCATAACTTTAAGATTCGATAGAACTTTTAAAATTAATGCATAAAGTCTATATAAACATGGGTCGAAATACAGGGTGTTTAAATTTACTTTCTAAAATAGCTTTTTTTTAAATATTTCGAACAATATTTGATGTATAACAGTGAAAATTGGTATACAAGGGTTTTTTGGTACGACAAAACGAACTGTGGGCATAGTTTTGCTGTAGCCGCTAGAGGGCGCTCTCTACTGTACCTGTAGTGTATTAAAATGACCTAAAATTTTTTCTTAGTGCAATTTTTTGCTTTTTGAATAAAAATACTGATTCTTCGCACTTTTCAACATAAAAAGCTCTCCTGTGAGTTTTCGTTATAGTTAGCCGTTTTTGAGATATTTCGATTTTTAAGGTTCGATGCATTTTTAATTATTTATGATAAAATAACGTTAAAAAGTCAGTATCTCGATAATTTTTAGAAGTCGGCTGTGTCTGCAAATATTTTTAAAATGGAAAGCAGAATAAGGTTAAACGTCAATTAGTTGACAGTTAGTTTTGTTGTCTGTTGAAACCTGAAACGTTTTTTTGCAATTGTGAATGCACGAAATTTAGTTTCTTTTACCTGTTTTTTTTGTAAGTTTTAAAAAAATGCCATTTTTATTCTCCAATCAAGAGTTAGCGGATATTCATTTTGTGTATGGCTTTGTAATTGGAAACGCAGCAGAAGCAGCCAGAGAATATGCACGAAGATTTCCAAATAGACGACATCCAACTCGCTCAGTATTTGTAAGAGTGCATCGCCAAATAATTGAAAATGGTTTTGGACATCTCCAAAGGGATCAAAACATAAATGTTCGTCATCGCAGATTTACCCGTATGATTCTGCGTGAGTTTGATAGAGATCCGACCACAAGTGTTAGGAGAGTTTCTGGTGCCTTGGGAATTTCACCAAGCCATGTTAACCGTGTGCTTAGAAATTACCATAGACGACCTTACCATTTGCAACCTGTGCAAGGACTACAGCCAGGGGACGGAGAAAGAAGAATCACATTTTGTCAGTGGATTCTTGATAGAACTGATAATAATAGGGAGTTTTTAAGTAACGTTTTATGGACCGATGAGTCATGCTTCACTAGACCTGGAGTGGTAAAATTTCATAATCAACATATTTGGTCGCATGAAAATCCGCATGCAGTTCGGGAAAGAAATTTTCAGCATGAATTTAGCGGAACGTGTGGATTGGTATCTACCGTAATCGACTATTTGGACCCTACCTTTTGCTGCAAGGTTAAATGCTGCGACCTTCTTGGAATTTTTAAAGGCTGAACATGCAAATATGTGGGATAATGTTATGTTAGATTTAAGAAGATTGGCCTGGTTCCAGCTTGATGGTTGTCCAGCTCATTATTCGAGAATAGTTAGAAACTGGCTGGACGAAAATTATCCAGAAAGATGGATCGGCCGCGGAGGACCAGTCGCCTGGCCTCCACGATCCCCTGACCTAAATCCATTAGATTTCTTTGTGTAGGGATTTCTAAAAGAAAAAGTGTACCAGACTCCCGTAACCACAAGAGATATGCTAATAGACAGAATGAGGAATGCATGTGATGAAATAAGGCCTTATTTGAATAATGCTATACCACGTTCGATCATTCGTAGATATGAATTGTGTATCGAACAATTGGGTTTACATTTCGAGCAACTACTTTAGATTTTGTATGTTTGTCCTAACTATCCAATAGCATTTTAGTTGTAAATAATTAATTTGATTTGTTAAAAATAATATTGGAAAATTAAACAAATTAATATTCTGTTTTTTGTGTTTATTTGGAGTTAGGAATTATTGCTATTTTTAAAAACACAATCTAAACGATCATCTTAATTACTTGTAATGCCCAAATCGAAAATGTAAAAAAAATATTATTTTCCCATAATTCTAAAAATGCGTCGAACCTTAAAAATTGAAATATCTCAAAAACGGCTAACTATAACGAAAACTTACAATAAAGCTTTTTTATGCAGAAAAGTGCGAAAAATTAGTTTTTTTATTCAAAAAGCAAAAAATTGCACTAAGAAAAATTTTTCGGTCATTTTAATACACTACAGGTACAATAGAGAGCGCTCTTTAGCGCCTACAGTAAAACTATGCCCGTGGTTCGTTTTATCGTACCAAAAAACCCTAGTATACCAATTTTGACTGTTATACATCAAATATTGTTCGAAAAATTAAAAAAAAACTATTTTAGAAAGTAAATTTAAACACCCTGTATTTCGGAAGCCACGCATTTTTCGACCCATGTTTATATAGACTTTATGCATTAACTTTAAAAGTTCTATCCAATCTTAAAGTTATGAAACAATAAACTGAAACACCCTGTATATATTCTAGCTATGTAAGTCCAGCCCAGCTGATGAAAAAAAAAACAAAATATCGAATTCTGGAGATTTTGTGATACAGATGTTTTCACGGGTGACCACGGAGAGGAAGTGGCCGACTGTTTCTGCTGGCGTGAAAATCATATTTTCCCTATACAGGGTATTTTAAATTCGTCCCTCACTATTGGGATCTCGGAAACTTTAAGGATACGAAGTCGCTTGAATAGGGGCAAAGATGCGTATTGAGATAATCAGCAAAATGTCGCTCAGAAGGTTTTGAAATTAAAAGTACTTCTGGAAAGAAACGTAAAAAACAAATTTCCCAAAATGATTTTAATTTTCTCCTGACATTATTTATGGTGGGATTTCAAAATAAATTGCACATCAAACCTGCCACATTTTCTCCTCTACAAGATGGCACAATTAGAATTTCAATATGACGTTTCGTCTCTTGTCCTCCAGCATCAACCTAATTTTGTCTTATAGACGTCATATTGGATTTTTACATACATGAATAGAATTTCCATTCTGATCTCAAAAATTGCATTGCAAAACCTTAGTTATTCCAGAAGTTCCTAGGTAGGCGTTAAAATTATCAGATTTCATTTGTTTGCATAGCAACAGAGTTTGGAAGACTGTGAAGACATCGTCTTATTTATTCTTATTATTGTTGTTACCATCAATAAAATTTTCATTTCGTATTCAGGTTTCACCATATCTATATATTTCCTTATAACTTTCATCTAACAATTTATGGTCAACTAACAAAGCACATCACTGAATTTAGGGCTGAAAGGGCCAGTTAAATGTACAAAATTCCAATATAGTGTCCGTTCAAGAAACCAAATTGATGATGTCGAAAGAAGAAATGTCGAATTGAAAATCTGACTACGTTATCTTGTAGACGAGAATAAGTAACAATGAAAATATGCAATTTATTCCAAAATCCCATGTCGAATAAAGTCAGGAAAAAAAATAGAGTGATTTTGGGATAAATTTGGTGAGCGAGACAAACATCCGATAATTTCAAGGGCTACCTAAGAAATTGTTTTTTTAAGTAACTAAGATTTGTCAAAATCAATCAATTTTTTGAATCAAAATTGAAAACTCTATTCATCTGTGCAAAATTGTAATATAGCGTCCTTAAGAAATAATAAAGTTGATGCTAAGGACAAGAGACAAACCGTCATATAGAAATTCTGATTATGCCTTCTTGTAGAGGAGAAAACGTGTCATTGTTAATGTGCAATTTATTTTAAAACACCAAAAATAAAGTCATGAAAAAATCAAAACGATTTTGGGAAAATACAGTTTTTCCCTCACTCTCCGGAAGTATGTACTTTGAATTTCTAAACTTTCTAAGTGTCATTCTGTTAACTACGTCGTTTAAGAGACTTCGTATCCCTTACAGTTTCCAAGATCCCAATGGTGAGTGCCAAAGTATAAACACCCTGTATATGCAGACTCTCACTAGAAGAAAGAAGTAAAAATACTACAAGGATTTAATAACGTCTTTGAATAATAAAGGGTGTTATACAGTAAAAAGCTAAAACAGCTGAACATAAATACAATTATCAAGATCTGCTTACATAGCTATAAGTTTCACAGAGTTCCCAACATGGAAAAAAGAACTGAGACTACGAAAATACATAGAAGTAAGACTTAAATCGCGTAATTTCGCAATTTGCAACTGTAACAAAATTTTTCAAAAGATTAATGATCACAAAAATCTTATTAATTATGGTTCCTGAACGTTATGTCCTATATTGTTCAGATTTTTCATACTGCATTCATAATTTTTATTTTGACATTACCGTGTCAATAAACAAAATATCGAGCACAAATCACTTTGGCGCTGGCTAAAGTTATTAGAACTGGGAAAAGCTCCTCATTTAGATTTTTACAGGATCTCGACGCCCTCGGGACAAAGGAGCGGTCTTACCGGCCAGTTCTAGATGTACGAAGTTCGCCTCGGCACATCGCGCGGCGACACCATGGAAGAGAGCTCTGAGGAGCAAAGTCCGTTGGCGTAGCTAGATCGTCAACGGCCCGTCGGTGTCCCCAGACCGTACATTAGGGAAGAGTAATCGATCATTAAATGCCTCTTACGAAGCAATTTTAGTCCTAAAGATAGTTTCGACACACTGTCACTGTCACTGGTTGATAGGTGTCCTCTGTCAGAAGGTTTTGTACGAACAGCGGATTAGCCGTCGGCAAACAGCCAGAAACTGTACGAACAGGTAACATCCCTCTGATCACCGACAAGTTACCGACTACTATACAAACAAACAGAATGTTGTCAGATATGATATGGTATACTAACCACAATCTGTCATAAAATCCCAGTGAATGTAATTCAATCTTATTTTGTTTTTAAATCTTAACATAAATATACTAAGCGGCAATTTAGAATTCACAGATAAATTAAAGTTTCTGGGTGTAACGTTTGATGAAAACTTGAGGTTCCATAATCATGTCAATAGTATTACATAAAAATCTTATTTAAAATTAAGCATCGTATATGCGAACAAACACATTCTTAGTACTAATGTTAAAAAAAAATCTTATACCAATAATAATTAGTCATGCCCATAATGCAATACTGCGACATCTTATATTACAGCTGTGATGGAGATACGCTATACAGAAAGTGTAAAATTATTGCTGTCGATTTATTTTGGGGACTAAGAAACTATGATCGCATATAGGCAAAGTTGAAATAAATTGGTTGGTTGAATGTGGAAAAAACTGTAAAATTACACTACCTCACATTCGTACATAAATTAATAGTGACTTCTACAACATCTTATTCATTTGAAAAACGTATACCTAGAAGAAATATACGTTCTCTAAATTTAAGACGCCTGGATAACTTAAGTATACCTGGTCATCATTCAACACTATTCCAAAGGTCTTTCTCGTATAACGCTTTGAAATTATATAATCAGGTGAATAATGAGACACAAAAATGCGCAATGTTTCTATTTAAAAAAAATATCAGGCGCATGCTACTAGCAGAGTGATATAGTTAGTTTCACGTTTTGTATTATCTCCTAAGTTCTCAAACAATTTACTTCCTTAATCGGGTTAAATGTAGGAGTTAGGGTAGGATGTTAAATTTCGTCCCAATGAAACCGGAATTATTATTGCCCACTTTCCTACGTCAAGTGATATGATGTTCTGTGGTACTATGTCTATGTGAGTCAGTATCCGATCAGGCGCCGCGCCTAGTTTATAATCAAACCGCATCTGAAAACCGATTGCCATGATATGCCGCCAGTATATTCGAGTATTCAGATCGTCGACGTCATCTTTGATATTCCCATCAGACCTGCGCAGGTCTGTTTACATCGTGCGAAAGGCGACACAGTAGATAGAATACGTAGAAACGTTGCAAATTCAGGAGGAAGTAGTCAAACTCGTGTTTTTGAATTGAACAGCGACAACTTCAACGGTAATTACAAAAAAAAGCAGGTGTGACAGTGCAGTACTAAAAATACCGTACCAAATAAATACTGAGTATTTTTATTGAATTTCTTTTTTACGTTTTCGGTTTTGTTTGTTATTTCAAAAGCAGTTGTTTCTGAAAAGGAAATGTCGCAACCTTCAGGAAACCCGGTATAATTAAGAGGGGCCATGAAAAATGATTACCCCTTACGTAACTCCTGGGGAAAGAAATTAAAAAAACCTTCGACGGAAACATAATTTACTTGAAGTACGAACGCCGAGCAAGTCAGTAAGCCATAATCAGTCTATCCGAATTTTGAAAAATTGGTTTGATAAGAAGAGGTTTTTGGCCAGGAGCTAAACGAATAGTGGGGGAGCTATATCGATTGCCGCGCACGCGGTGGACAAAAACGCAAACATCTTTTGCCCGATAGCGGAATATAGGCGTAGTCTCTAAAGTAAAATCTGTCATATATGGTCAATTGGGAGCCTGGCAGTGATGCAAATATTTCGCTGTCTATATTTTTCAAATCAAAAGGAAAGGGAATTGTCAGTTTGAAACTAAAATTGTATCTTTGGTCTTATAATTGTCAATTATTATCAGTGATCCAAATATTTTTACATTGTCAAGATTAAATATTTCTGTCCTGTATGCGCCAGGTGGCTCTGTCATCCCGCACTCACCGAAAAGTTGATTCAGCCAATAGCAGCAATGTCCACTTTTGTTCCAGCAACCAGCGCTTGGGAAAAGACAGATTTGATTTCTATCAGGGCAGCCTATTTTTCATAAGGTTTTAACGTCTACTGAGCTCAACAAATAATAAGCAATCGTCATCTTCGTCTGTTTATAACCTTATGACCCTACAATCTAAAGTCTTCAAGGCTAGCTTATCCTGGAAGTATGTTCCCTTTATGCGGAGGAAGGCAAAAGTCATATACTTGCCGAAAATGGGCAGGGTATCAGACTTAACGGCCAATTCATATAGGGCAATATGCCTGACCTCCATCCTTTTCAAAATTTTGGATAGATTGGTTTATACGTGGTACATAAGGGACGAAACACTGGAGGAGAACCCCGGTATATTGTAAAAAACCTATAAAACGTCAAAAAAAACCTATAAGATGTCAACTTGCAGACTAGGTAGTTTTTAGGGCGCAAACAGTCATTCAACGTTTGCTCGCTAGGATCGTTGCGAACGTCCATCTATGGAGGAATCACTCAACTAAACTACACGCATTATTGGTTGCATAGTTTTGTGAGGTTGAATGACCCGTGTCTGTAGTTTTCATCTCTGAGAAAATAGTTGGTTGAATAGCAAGATCGCATCTGGATGATTATGTGTATTGGTCTGCATGTCTAGAAAATCAGTGATATTTGCTGTGTGAGAAAATTATTATTGAATATGCCAAATATGACGGGTTATTTATATGTTGTGCTTTCTGAAGAGAGGTTAAGTTCAAAGTTATAAATTACGAAAAACTGAGGAGAATTACGGGAAATCATCACCGCGCCCGCGTTGTGTGTAATTACTGTAAGTATGACGGCTTGTACAGTGAATATAATTATTTCGTATCTCTCTCATTTTTGAAATTCAGCAAATTTGTATTTGTAATTTCCAGAATGGATAAGAAAAAGTGGATGCGCAACTAATTTCTAGCTTTGAATCCCAATTAACTCAATTAAGTGTATTTGAGACAAGAACTCAATGTAATAATTATCATCAACACATACAACTTACAGCTTAGATCTCCAGTAATGCCATCTCAGAAGCAGATTTTACATCACATCCGAGCCAAAGATTGATAACAAGCCTCATGACGTTTAGGTAACACGTACAACTAAGTGCTAAGTTAACATCTTGTAGAAAAACCTACATGATGTCAAAAAAAACAGCATAATGTCAAAAAAATTCGGCATAATGTCACTTTTCAAGATACGTGATCCGTGCAATGGATTACACCACGGGGTTTCCAGCCGCGCTGGGCCAACGGATAGAGGCCAACCTGAAAAATAGAACTATATCGTCTGTAGCAACGGATACTACCATTGAAGCGGCGGCGAGGCTGGGATCACCTCATGGGCAGTTTTGGTAGATACACTTCTTCAAGAACTCACCGCCGAAGGCCTTTACTGTCTGGGGTGTGCAGAAGTCATTGTACTCGTAGTTAAAGGCCGGTTGATATTTTCAAATGCTCCTAAAGGGTCATGAATACTGTCGATAGGAGGTGCAGGACGGGAAGCTTAGCTTTAAATCCGCACAAGACAATCGTCGCCACAAGAAGGTACTAGAAGGCCTCACGCCACAAACAATGCCTGGTGTAAAGGTCCCTTAAGCCAGTGAGGCAAAAAATGTTGGAGTCATTTTTCACCAATCGTTAATGTGGAACTCTCACATCAACAGAACAGCACAGAAAACTACGATGCCCCTAGGCGGATGTGGTTATACCCGAGGGTGGTGACATCCATGATAACCTATGGATCAGTGAGATGATGGACAAAGACTGTCTAGTCGGTAAGGGTGTTAGAGGCGTCCAGAGGCTAGCTTGCTTGAGCGCCACGCAGGCCATGCATACCGTGCCCACTAGAGCGTTGGACGTCCTTCTAGATGCCAAAAGCTACTGTTACACAGACTCGCTCGAAAACTGAAGACGGAGCTGAAGCTGGGATTTATGTGGCAATGCCAAAAACTGAGATTTCTACAAGTTTGGGTAATATTGCAACAATATTTCAGGCTGAAGTCACGGCCATACAAGTCTGAGCAAAATAGCTAACAAGAATCAAACTGCAAATAAGTCGATCGTCATCTGCTCAGATAGCCAGGTAGCCATAAAAGCAACAAAATTATCGCAAAGATCGTCTAAACTAGTATGGGATTACGTGAACACTCTCAAAGAGCTGGGAAACCGAAACCAGGTAGCAGTGCTCTTGGCCAATCGCCTTATAGGTCCAGAGCCTTTCTGTGGTGTGACGAGAACACGCACTAAACGGTCCATAAGAAATTGGACAAGAAAAAGTCCCTAGAATGGTAGAACGGGAAAGGTAGGCAAAAAAGTTCAACAAAGAACGAAGGACCTACTCGGATTCAATAGGAAGACCATGAGGGACATATGAGACTCTTGGGTCTAGCAGAGGAGGGCACATGCCGTTACTGTAGAGAGCATGAGGATAACCCAGTGCATCTCCTGTGACACTGTGAAGGCCTGGCAAGGTTCCGGTTTCAGAGAGTAGGAACCACAGATTCAACAGCGGCAAAATACATGCAAGGGCCTGTGTCAAGGCTATGAGGTCTGATTAAAGGATCGAAGCTGTACAGTAGATCCATTTGGGTCGCATTGACGTTAAGGCTTCTGTAATATGTACTCTGACCCCCAATCTAACTAACGTCCTCTACTTCTAGCTTTCCAAATTTCATTAGTACGAAATCCTTAAAATTAATCATGCAAATGATGTGAGAACTAAATCTAAGTCGTCACTCGATTGAAGATTGCGTAGGAAATAAAGAAAACAAAATTTTCGAAAATTAGGTAATTTTTGGAAAAACAAATTTTGAACCATTAGAAAATTTACACGTTCTGGTTCAGACGTGCTGGAAGCTCACTGAGGGAAGATGTTCAGCTTTCGTATACATGCGTAAATTTCAAAGATCGTGTGAATATTTTCCCAAGTTCTTACAACAGTGGCGCTTCTGCCTGCAAGTCTATCGAAAAAGTGCCATCATGTAGGTTGACTTTGCACTTCCCACTCATCGCTGTCATCAGTTCATAAGATATTATGTTCCGCATAAGATAGAAAGAATCAACATGTATATCAACGGAATTCAATGGATCAAGTCAGTCAAATTTCTATACCAAAGTCCTTTGTCTTTTCTACAAGAAACCTAAAATTTGCCAGGAAGTTATTTATAAGCAGTAGATGTCGGATAAGAACGGATTTTGTGACAAGGCTGAATTAAAGGGAGCTAAGGGCATACACAAATTTCTAGGGTAGTCCTTTGCTTTTCCCCTAAATAACTACAATTTGATAGAGAGGTATTTTAGAGACCATAAAAATCTGTTAAGAAAGGTTTTTACATGACCGGATTAAGGGGAATGAAGGGCACTTGCAAGTTTGTTAGAAATTGCTTGGAGTTTTCTGCATGATGCCTGAAAATTGGCAATAATGAGGTTGCTCAGACTAGATTTCAACTAGGAATGGGTATTATAAAACTATTGTGCATTCTCATGGAAATGTGATATTTTTCTGTCATAAAAGTAGCATATTATATATTCCGTGTTATCGTCTGTATCCATTGTCACGAACTAACAAATACACTAGCGCGAACGCCATCTCGTCTGAAGAAATGTGAGCAGATAATTTATTATGCTGACTTCAGATCAACTACGAAAGCTTGCTGTGCTTTTTATAGTTGTATTTGCATTTTTATTTAAGCCCAAGCAAGGAAGTTGGCTGTCAATTTACGAGGGTAATAAAAGTTTCAAAATGAGATGGGAAGTTATAAAATCACTTAAAAATAGTGTTCCCCCCTGAAAAACTAGCTGACTACAAAATATGCACGTTATAAGCTCTTAGCAACTACATTGTTGATATGTTGCATCATGCAAAATTCTACAAGCGGCTGGTGAGCGCCTTGGTGGGCCGCACCAAAGACGATGAAGTCCTAAGGCAAACAAAAATAGCGTATGGTGAATTATCGTAAGCTTAATGAAATCACCATAGATCAGAAATACCCCTTGCCAAACATTTTAGATCTGCTTGATCAATTAGGGAAATGTCAGTATTTCAGTACACTGGACTTGGCATCTGGATTTCATCAGATCGAGATAAATCCAGCTGATGTCCCCAAAACTGCCTCCTTAGTAGATAATGGTCATTATCACTTCTTGGGAATGCTTTTTGGACTTGAGAACGCCCCTGCCATGTTCCAACGTGTCATAGACGGTATCCTGATGGGTATACGAAACGAAAGACATGGATAACATCATCGCCTATTTCCCCTCCATTCAGGAACACATGAACTGACTTACCGAAATTCTCAACCGCCTTCGGAAATCTAATTTTAAAATCTAGCCAGGTAAGTCCTCCTTCAGAAAGGATGTACCTTACTTTGGTCATGTGATTACACCCTAAAGTGCTACGCCCAATCCAGACAAAGTGATTGTATCAAACATTTTCCCCAGCCAAAAAATCCTAAAGAGATAAAATCCTATTTAGGTCTCGCCGGTTATTACAGACGTTTTATTCCGAATTTTGCCAAAACTACGAGACCCTTGACAGACTGTTACAGAAAAACGCAACATTCGACTTCGATAGAGAATGTGTCAAGACATTCGATAAAAATGCTCTGATTAAGTTTCCCATATTAATTTATCCCGATTTCGAAGAGCCATTTGTCCTTACTACAAGCGCAAGCACTTTTGCGATGTCTGTCCGTACACTTTGTAAAGTTGAATCGAGATATTCAACCATTCAACGCGAATTATTAGCGATTGTGTGGCGGTGCAACAATTTAGACCATATCTTTATGGTCGAAAATTAAAACTCGTCACAGATCACAGACCTTTAACTTGGCTTTTCTCTTGCTCTCCTACCGGGAGCAGGTTAGCCAGATGACGCCTCAGAGGAGTATCAATGCCCTTATCCAAAGTGACGACGAGGGAGATCCTTCCCAATTTTCTGAATCTGTATTTGATATTTTCGCCCGCCTATACAAGACCACATCCTTGACTGATTATTCCAAAATTCAGTTTTCAAATGTTCGGCTCTTGAACAAGATCCATAATTCTTATTTAAGATGAAGATATTTAGTATAGTTCCGTATACCACATTTAGTTTTGGCTGCCGCTGAGAAAATTTGCTATCCTCACTTTTCAAAATTTTTTTGGATCTGATGCATAATATGCATAATCATTATGTACAAAAAGTTAATGCTTGTCAATATTTAATCGGCCCTCCTGAGAAAAATTCTTGAGGACCCTCTGCCTAAGCGGTCAGTTTTCGAGCCGATTAGCTGCCCAAAACTCAGCCTCATTTGCGACAAGGTTATCACCTCTTTCCGTTAGTTCTGTCTTAGGGGCAAAGGAACCTAATAGGTGCATAGAATTAACAGGATTAGAAGCTTACAAATACACTACAAAAGTTAAGATGGACAAAGCATTGAAATGTCTAAAAACGTTTGAGCTGTCCTTTTCCGTTTTTTTTTACCTATCTCGACTAAAAAGCATAAAAAGAATTAAACTCGATTCAGCTCAGTAAAAACGTAGTATTTTATGAAAGTTTCACGTCAATTTGGCAGCACCGCCTCATCACATTAGGGAAACGCGTGGCAGCATATCAAGAGAGAGAGAGAGAGAGAGAGTTGCCAAGCCAATGACATTCTAATATGTGATATTCTAATATGCTATGAGGTATAGAGATACTTTAAATTTATCGATTACATCGGTGGAAAAGGAGATAAACGGAATGGGAATAGAAATATTGTGGGAAACTTTTAGAGATGTTGTGCTAATGTCAGTTAAATCAGTTTGCGGTACATATAGAACGAGTTCGAACAGAAAACAAACAGCGTGGTGGAATAATAGCATAAAACTACAAGTTAAAATTAAAAAATGGAAATGGCTATATTTTCTGAACAAACGTACAGAGGAAAGTTATAATGAATACAGGAAACAGAAAGAAAAAGTGAAAACTACTCGTATGAGAGACAGTAAAAAGAAAGTATGGAGTGATTTTGGATACAAACTTGAGACTGACAGCAAAGGTAACCAATAATTATTTTATATCTTGAAGAGATTTCGAAATAGGTAAACAGCAGCAACTGACTCAACAGGGATAATGGATCGAGATGGAGTTTTGATTATGGAAGACAAAAAAGTACTGTCTAGATGGAAAGAGTACCTTAATGATCTGTTTAACTCACAGAATGACACCGAACCAGATAATACATCATCACATCAAGACACCGAAGATACAGAAGAACAAGAGATAACAATAAACGAGGTAACAGAACAAAATGAAGACGAATGTACCTTGCCCTCTTGGATATGGAGAAAGCTTTTGATAGAGTTCCACGAAAAAAGTCAAAAGAGAATTTGCAGAGAAGAAATGTTCCTGTAAAATTAGTAGAAGTGACCATTAGTATCTACCACAAGACTAACCGAGTAATATCTAGAAATATGATGTCCGAAGAATTCGCTACTACAGAGGGAGTACGTCAAGGTGGAGGGCTTAGTCCCCTATTGTTTATAGTATTTATATCTGATCTGATAAAACAATGCAGGCAAAGAACAAAATCAATTTTTGTTGGGTACAGGAAATTGCAGAAAGTGGAACTAGCGGAGTGCGCATTTGCAGATGACTTGGTGTTGATAACTGGTAGTGTTGGGAGACTACAGGAAAATTTAAACATTTGGAATAAAGTACTTGAAGATAATGGTATGAAATTAAATAAACTTAAACCTAAACTTATGGCTGTGTCATATGAAAAACTCAATATAGATGTAAGAATAGATAATGTAAAATTACAACAGGTACACTCCCTTAAATATCTGGGAGCTATATTGGAACCTAACGACGGAAATTAAATAGAAATGTCTGACAGGATAGGAAAATGACGGTGTATAATACAATATATAGACCTATATTGACATATGGATGCGAATCCTGGGTTCTATTCCAACAACAAAAAAGTAAACTTCAGGCAGTTGAAATAAAATACTTGAAGCGAGTTAAAGGGGTAACCAACATGGACAAAACAGAAAACGAGACTATAAGAACGGAGTTAGAGACTGAATCTATTAGTGAACACATAGAAATGAAGCAGCTGAGATGGTGGGGACATTCGCAAAGAATGGGTGACAACATATCGTTGAAACAAGTTTGGGAGAGTGAGGTGCTAGGAAAAAGGAGAAGGGGCAGGCCACAAAGAGCATGGGAGAATACCACAGAAGAGACATTGATGAAAAGAGGAACGGATTGGAGAGAAGCTAAGAAACTTCCTTTAAACAAAAGAGAATGGACAAAATTCATGTACAAATAACAGTAGGTTTTGTAATGTTCTGTTTAATCCTACACCCTTTAGGGTAAATGTGATTTTGATCATATATATATATATATAACTCGAGACGTGGTCATTGTCGTTTAGACCAGTTAGGTGAAAAATTAAAGCTTCCGCCTTTTGTTGGGTACTTCGACAAAAATTTAAGCAAAGAGGACTCTTTATACTTTCTTATTCTCTCTAGCTTTCAATGGACTTTGCCATCATCATCAGGAGCTGCAATTACATTGATAACAGTAGCAACAATAGTGTAAAATGAATTTAAATTGACTTAACTTACAGTAGTATGTGAGGATGTTGCTAATTGTTGTTTACGTTCAGGATGAGGGAAACGCCCAGTAACATGGTGAAAGCTGGATAGATGATACAATGGTCAAAATTATATAAAATACACACAACTGTGTGACAAGAACAAGTTAAAAACAGATTAAAAATTTTTAGAACATGAAAGCATTACATCGTGAAGCCACTTGATGATTGCACAAAATGGTGGACATGGAATAATGAGTGAGATGAACCCTTTGACAGAAGGCCGAAAGGTTGTCAATGTCTGTGTAGAAAGATGGAACGTATTGTGGGCGTGTGCTACGTTGCCAAATCACTTCAGATGATGTGATTTTCAGAATGTGTTATGTAAGAAATTGTTGAACCGACCAGAGGCAGTTGAATTTTGATTAATGGGCAATTAAATTAACAATTATTACTAAATCATGAGGAGAAAATTATTAAAATTTGAGTGGAATGAAGTTTATTGGTGGAATAGACCAAGAAACAGATTCCATTTATGGTTGTGAAGAGTCAAAATATGGGGAGATATGTAAGTGCTCCAATTTTGCGCAGTTTAGTAAACACTCAGTTGCTTAACATCTGTCTTTTTGTTGATACAGTTGTTATTCATGAAAATGTGGGACATTTCCAGGAATAAACGTTTGGATAGGTGCTTTCCTTTATCAAGAACTTTGATACTTGTGTAATTCATAGAGTGCCCTGTTGTGTTAACATGAGATGCTAGAGCGCATCTTTCAGGATGAAGCCTAGAATCACTTTTGTGTGATGTTTATTCAAAGTTTATTCAAAATTCAAAAACCAATATAACTTACAAATTAAAAACAACCTTCAGTACAATTTAAATGCAAAAAGCTTCAAAAATACATGAGCTTGTATGCTCTTGCTACCCTGAATAACCAAGATTGCAACAGAAATCTGAGCAAAGATACTAGCATCAGATCTAGAACCAGCAAGTAACGGTATATGAATTGTGAAAATTCTGTATACTTTCGTAAAAGGTAAGTGTCTGGATCTTGTCGTCACAAATCCTAAATTACGTTTCTGCATAAACAAATCTAAAATTCATAACAATAGTACAGAAGCATACTAAAAAACACTCAGAAGTATAAATATAGAGTACATAAAATATGAATATCTGAAATATGATAATAGAGTAAGGTCAAACTATCTTGCTTAAACAATAAAAATTTTGCGTAAAGGTTAAGCAGAGAAACAAGAGTACTACAATTTACTACAAAAGAATTTACTACAAAATAATAGACACCTAAGCTATAAGCTTGTGTGTGTCATACAATATACAAATTCAATGCATGGCTAATGGTCATAAGGTATATTATGAGCAAATGTATATAAAAAAAAAATAAATAAAAAAAAAAAACATTAGATAGAAACGAAATTACTGAGTTGAGTCAAGCTACCGTCGATGCAAGCATGTCAAAGTTATTTAAGATGAACTTCTTAATTCTTTTTTTAAAACTATACTTCGAGAGGATTTTATATTCTAGGGGTAATTTATTATACAACCTAATACCATCAAACATTATGCATTTTTGGCAAACAGATCTATTCACTCTGGTATAGGTGTAACTTATATTTATTTTAGTTCTTGTTTCATAAGCGTGGCTGGTTGGAACATTGTTTCGGGAGTGAACAAATTTTAGAGCAGCAAAAATATATAAACCTCTAACATTCAAAAGATCATTTTCAATGTAAACAAATCTGCAACTTGACCTACATGGGATACGAAAAATAGTCCTGACAATATAATTTTGCGTGGTTTGTAGTATTTTTAAAGTACTAGTGTATGCGGCTCCCCAAATACTTATCCCGTAAGTTAGTAGAGACCCCACAAACGAGTTATATATTGAGAGAAGACTCTTTCTGCTTAAAATATTCCTAAGAATGAAAAACTTATGAATAATTCTCCTTAATTTCGATGCCAAAAGCTCGGCATGACTCTGCCATTTTAAATTACTGTCAACAATGATTCCTAAGTATCTAATAACTTCAACTCTTTCGACAGTGTCAGCACTATCATTTATAATTAATGTTCGGTGGTGTAATGGCATGCCTGCTTTGGTTGGGGAAAACGTTACATACTTAGTTTTAGAGATATTCAGTTTAAGTAAATTGTTATCCAACCAGCATTTGACTTTATTTAATGACAACTCGGCATTCCGTATTGCGTCATCCCATGAATGACCAGTGCAAACTAAAACAGTATCGTCTGCATATGATATCATCTTACAGTTGAAATTACATCGAAGTAGTTCATTTATGTATATGAGGAACAGTGTTGGTCCCAAAACTGTCCCCTGAGGCACACCTATTTTGATCTTTTGAATGTTGCTTAAATCTGACCCTACCTTAACTTGTTGTAATCGATCAGCCAAATAGTTCTCAAATAAGTTCAGAACTCCACTACGCACTCCAACACTTTCTAGTTTCTTTAATAAAATTGTGTGAGATACTGAATCGAAAGCCTTTTGAAGATCTAGGAAAACTGCAACAGTCTTATTTCCATCTTGAAAATTTTCAAGCACTTGTCCTGTAAGTTCTTGTAGAGATTGCTCTGTATTGCAATTTTTGCGGAATCCAAATTGACAGTTCGATATTATGTCATATTTCTCAAGAAAAGAACAAAGTCTGTTATTCAAACACTTCTCAAAAATCTTACCAAACACATTGATAACTGAAATAGGTCTATAATTGAACATATTGTCTTTACTTCCAGATTTAAATATTGGTGTCACTATGCTTTCTTTAAATTGGCGAGGAATTACTGAGGATTTGAAACAGAGGTTGATAATGTGAGTTATAGGGTGACTGATATACTTCATGATCATCTTGATAGTTCTAGTGTGTAAGCCATCTTTTCCGGGTGCGCTATTATTTTTCAGATTACAAACTATTTGTTGTAACTCTATGTTATCCACTGGAGTTAGAAACATGTAATCCTTCCTTTAAGAGATCTGGAGGTCTGACCTATGTATATTTGGTTGCAGCTGTTGCAATTGATGGAGTAGACTGTGTTGGTTAAGCCAAGCCTCTGTCTTTCATTTTTGAAAAAATGCAGTTTATAGTGAGGACGGATTTGCAAGCAATTCGAAAGTTCATTTACTCATATTTGCTAAACTGCGAAAAATTGGAGCACTTACATATCCCCCAAATTTTGACTCTTCACAACCATAAATGGAATCTGTTTCTTGGTCTATTCCACCAATAAACTTCATGCCACTCAAATTCTAATAATTTTCTCCTCACGTTTTAATAATAATTATTAATTTAATTGCCCATTAATTAAAATATAGTTAGTTCAACTGCCTCTCGTCGGTTCAACAATTTCTTACATAACACATTCTGAAAATCACATCATCTGAAGTGATTTGGCAACGTAGCACAGGCCCACAATTCATTCCATCTTTCTACACAGACATTGACAACCTTTCGGCCTTCTGTCAAAGAGTTCATCTCACTCATTATTCTATGTCCACCATTTTGTGTAATCATCAAGTGGCTTCACGATGTAATGCTTTCATGTTCTAAAAATTTTTAATCTGTTTTTACTCGTAACTTGTTCTTGTCACACAGGTGTGTGTATTTTATATAATCTTGACCATTGTTCCATCTATCCAGCTTTCACCATGTTACTGGGTGTTTCCCTCATCCTGAACGTAAACAACAATTAGCAACATCCTCACATACTACTGTAAGTTAAGTCAATTTAAATTCATTTTACACTATTGTTGCTACTGTTATCAATTTAATTACAGCTCCTGATAATGATGGCAAAGTCCATTGAAAGCTAGAGAGAATAAAAAAGTATAAAGAGTCCTCTTTGCTTAAATTTTTGTCGAAGTACCCAACAAAAGGCGGAAGGTTTACTTTTTCACCTAACTGGTCTAGACGACAATGACCACGTCTCGAGTTACAGCCACAGATTTGGGGTTTTTCAACAGTATCACGGAACGTCATGGGAACCAGGCAGTAAGAATGATGAAGGATTGGATCAAGGGCAGAAAACGACTGGCACAGGAGATCAATCGACGGATATTCTTATTAAAATGTAGAAAACATGGCATTACACCACATCACACCACCCACCGCTTAACATCAATCACACACATACTAGAAAGCCATTCAATAGAAGATGGGATGAAAAAACGTCTGCACAGGTTAGGTGACAAAATACTCACACTTGAGATATCTTCCTGCCACAGACAGTTGAAGAAACTTCAT